CCCAGGCTGGAGTGCAATGGCGCGATCTCGGCTCACCGCAACCTCCGTCTCCTGGGTTCAGGCAATTCTCCTGCCTCAGCCTCCTGAGCAGCTGGGACTACAGGCACGCGCCACCATGCCCAGCTAATTTTTTGTATTTTTAGTAGAGACGGGGTTTCACCATGTTGACCAGGATGGTCTCGATCTCTTGACCTCGTGATCCACCCGCCTCGGCCTCCCAAAGTGCTGGGATTACAGGCTTGAGCCACCGCGCCCGGCCCGAAAAGGAATTTCTAATCCCACAAAATAACACCTGGGCACAAACCTCTGTCCCAGCAGATAGAAATACACACAAAAAAACTGCATGATTTGAAGGATCCCCCAAAAGACCTGACCTACACCTTTGCCAAGCTATAGTATTCTTTCGGGGGCTCTCTTTCACAATGCAGGAGAGGGAAATCTTACACTCCTTTACCTTTAATGTGAGTGTGGGTACCACATCACTCTATTTGTAACCTTTTTTCTGCAGCCTATCCCTTTTGTCACAGTCAACTCTCCTCTGCAGTCTCCTAATAATGTGTGCATATCTCTGGCATTCCTAATATCATTCGTTCTTATTACACCCATCATCTCCCACAGTGGTTATAGGTTTATATTCTTAAGAGTAATTGTAGTTTCTTATTAAATTTTGTGATCCTGGTATCTAATAGAATGCCCAGGAAAAGGGTTAAGCAATAATGGAATAGTGGCAAAATTAAACTACTGTCTAGAGAGTGGGAAATGTTTAACTGTATCATTATAGTCAATATGGAAAAGGGAACTGGAAAGGAGATGGAAGGACTTTAAAGGTGAACTTCATCACTCCCACACCATTACAATAAGAAAAACCAATTTTTCAGCATGTCTAATTACAAGCATCGTCCCTGATAGCTATATGAAAGTGTCCAATCTCCTTTTAAAGCCATTTCTTCCAGAAGTTAGGAAGCCTAAAAAATATGAACATCTGAAAAATAGAGAGATATTAGTCAATTATTTGGTAGGATCTATGCCTACTAAATAAAAATGAAATTTTAGGCAAAACACAAGTTAACTAAACTTATTTTAGACATTGATTTTAAAAATCTCTAATTAAGCAAAATAAATGCAGCAGAAAGGTTAGAATAAGGATGTCATGGGGACTAGGGACATTTATCTAAGTCCCTTCTTTGTGCCAGGCTCTGCTATTTATTTCAGCATATTGCAATCGTCAATTTGTAGATGTGGTAGGCTATGTGTACATTAAAAAGGAAATTGAGAGAAGAAGAAACTTATGGGTTCAAATTTAGAGTCTCACTTGTCACGCTAAAATGGTATCCTAAGTATTTTCTCCTTTTCAGTTTCTTTAAAAAGGTAACCATTCTATTGAAAATAAACATTAAACAAAGTAAACATGTATAGATGAATCATGTCACCTCAGACAGCTGTACTGTTTAAAGTGATTGACAGGAAACTGAGGATAAACAGATGAATTTGCTTGGCTCTATGTAACCTGCTAGAAACCACAAGTTATACCTATGACAACTAGTGCAATCTTTGTGTATCAAGAATCCACAGCTAATTTGTAATCATAATTTTCCAGTTCACTAAAAGCAGGAAAATATATGGCAAAATATGACAGCACACCAAAATGGCACCCTCTCCACTGAAGCTTCAGACTTCCTCTTGAATTGTTTTATCAGATCCCCCAGCTGGCAGCACTGGCTGTCCCTGCCCCTCAGCCTCCTCTTCCTTTTGGCCATGGGGGCCAACGCCACCCTGGTGATCACCATCCGGCTGGAGGCCTCTCTGCACCAGCCCCTGTACTACCTGCTCAGCCTCCTCTCCCTGCTGGACATCGTGCTCTGCCTCACCGTCATCCCCAAGGTCCTGGCCATCTTCTGGTTTGACCTCAGGCACATCAGTTTCCCTGCCTGCTTCCTCCAGATGTACATCATGAATTGTTTCCTGGCCATGGAGTCCTGCACATTCATGCTCATGGCTTATGATCGTTATGTAGCCATCTGCCACCCACTGAGATATCCATCAATCATCACTGATCAATTTGTAGTCAAGGCTGCCATGTTTATTTTGACCAGAAATGTGCTCATGACTCTGCCCATTCCCATCCTCTCAGCACAACTCCGTTACTGTGGGAGAAATGTCATTGAGAACTGCATCTGTGCCAATATGTCTGTTTCCAGACTCTCCTGTGATGATGTCACCATCAATCGCCTCTACCAATTTACTGGAGGCTGGACTCTGCTAGGATCTGACCTCATCCTCATCTTCCTCTCCTACACCCTCATTCTTCGAGCTGTGCTGAGACTCAAGGCAGAGGGTGCTGTGGCAAAGGCCCTGAGCACATGTGGCTCCCACTTTATCCTCATCCTATTCTTCAGCACCATCCTTCTGGTTTTTGTCCTCACACATGTGGCTAAAAAGAAAGTCTCCCCTGATGTGCCAGTCTTGCTCAATGTTTTCCACCATGTCATCCCTGCAGCCCTTAACCCCATTGTTTATGGGGTGAGAACCCAAGAGATTAAACAGGGAATCCAGAGGTTGTTGAAGAAAGGGTGCTAACAAGGACAACTAAATCTCTGAATATCTAAAATAAGATAACCTATTAATCATTTAATGAATGAGTGGGCTGAAAATCATGTCTGTGAGCTATAACCTCAGACTCGGTATACTGAATATGTATGTGCTTTTCAGAAACATCAGTTTTATTAAGTCTATTTTTATTTTTGCCCTTTTCTCAGAAATATTCTTGGCCCTCTCTCATTTTATTTCATTCTTATGATCATATTTCATCCAAAACGTTGACATTCCTTAAAGCAGATTTTAAAGTGAAAAATTTATGTTTTTGAACACACAACTCTTATTATGTCATGAATTTTATATTATTAAAAATACAACTGTGGTTATTTTGTTGTGTCTGTTGTGTGTAATGTCCTTTTATTCTAATTTTCACAAAAGGGAATATATTGGAGAAAAAAACATAGTAGCTGAAATTTCAGTCCTCAATCGTGAAAGGTTCCTACTGGTCTGTAATTAGACCTTTTTCTCTCACCTTTCAACTATATCATTGCTATTCTCTAGTTCTCTCTCCGCCTCTCTTTCTTCCTCTCTCTCCGTCTCCTTCTCTTTCTTTGGAAGACAAGGTAAACTTTTGTAACGTGCATTGCAAGACAGCAGGAGTTTTGCCCTGAGTCCTCACATGAGTAACAATTATCAATGAGTGTTATTGCATAAGTGAGATTCCTGAATCCTCCTTCCTAATGTGGCTGTGCTTAGAACATTTATCTTTCAGAGCCAATATATCACAGGTTTTGGTATGCAAACAAAGCTTTGTTAATGAGTTAAAGGATCGCTAATATTGTAGCATATAATCCAGCAATAATATTGACACCTAAAATATCTTTGCTGAACATTATTTTTTTATTAATTGGACAGCTGCTAAGCATGCACTGTGTCCTGTGAATTATGTTAGTTATTAAGAAACAAAAATAAATAGAACATTGTTATTGGCTTGAGGACCTCAAAATTTGGGTAGGAAAAATACAAATATGCCTTCCAGAACACATTCTTCTAAACTGTAAACCAGTGAGGAATTAAATAAAAGACATGTATGGGCAGTAAGATACTTGACCCTGTAAGAAAGCATTATATATAGAGAGAAGGTCTGGGTAGTAGGCCTTGCACAACCACACGCACACACACACACACATACACACACACACAGCACAAAAGTTGGGTCTTGCCTGGGAAGAAGTCAAATGAAAGAAATTACTCCAATTCCCATTACTCCTCCAATACCTGAGAATAGTAAGCGATTTGTTTTTGAATATTCTTCTAAAATACAAGAAGAAGTTTGGTGCTTCAGTAACAACTTACAAGTGTGTGTCACTTTGTTTTGGCCATACAAGGAAAAATTTTCAAGTATCTAATGCCAAGCCTGTCCCAAATGTGTGGGTGTTTTAAATTTAACCGAAAGCACCTGAGATTAAGCCCTGTCCTACTCAAGCAGACATTCTGCAGAGCTCTGTCCATTCATTTCTCTTCTCCATCTTGCAAAAATAATAATAATAAATTAGCACTTAATTCCCCTGTTCCTGGATATCTCGTAACCTACTGATCGAAAAATAAGCACGTACAACATATAAGAAGTGATAATTAAAAGCATATAATCAATAATTTAATTAGAAATTTCTCAAAAGTGAAAAGCCATCTGTTAAGATCCAACTAGATATACCTTTTTCTTTATTATCCAAACAAGGAGGACTCCTGAAATCTCATTCTCTGAAACATTTCAACATAAGAAAAATGTCTTGGCTATAAATATGCATAACTATATACCTATGGAAGAATCTTACAATTATAAAGATATAACATGCTTGTAAGGTAAATTTAAGCTACCATTTCTTAGGGTATACTAAAAGTCTGAAAGTTTTAACAATATGCCATATTAACATATACTCAACAAAACACCAAACTTTGAGGACTAAGACTCATGTCATTGCAACATTAAATTTGTTTGTATAACAAGATCACATTGTTTGTATAACAAATCTAGATGTCTATAATGAGCTGTTAGAAAATAACCTCGGGTGCCAGGAAAAAGACACATTGAGGGATTTAGAGTACATACCACCCTGAGACTAAGAAAATTTTCCATAAGTCTCATCTTCCAAAAGAATATGGTAAAAAGTTCATATTTTAAAAATATTTGCCTGAAAAATCTGTTTTGCTTTATTTATATGTAATTTTTAGACATTTATGGACAATGTCAAAACAATATCAGCATATATTTACTCGACAAACAAGATGAACAAATTATGGTTTTATCTCACAAAAATAGCTAATATTAATGCAGATTTCCTCTAGAACTCTGCAGTGCAATATGAGCCACATATTTAATTTTAAACTTGTTAGTAGACACATTGAAAAAGTAGAAACAGGCAAAATTAGTTCTAATAATATATTTTTATTTAGTCCAACATTTCAATAATGAAAATATTATCATTTCAACACATAATAAATGTAAGATAATCATTAATGTGATATTGCACATTCCTTTTCTGTACTAAGTCTTTGAAATACACTGAGCATTTTATACTTAAAGCACATTTTAATTCAGACTACCCAGATTGCAAGCATTCAACAGCCACGTGAGGCTAATGACTATGATGTTAATCAGTACCACTCTAGAAATTTTGCTTTGGAAGTCAGATATGGATAGAAAATAAAGTTGATTAGAAAATATATATTCATCCTGTAATACATCTTATATCATAATATAATACACTTATATTTATGTTATTTTGTTTCAGCTATAATTTTTCTTTTTTATATGCTTTGCCAGGGAAGTCGGAGTTTTAGAGGAGAGTAAAGATTTTTTTTTTAATGTTGCAATGACATGAGTGCTAAATCTTAGGAACTAAGGTGAGAAGATTTATTTTAAAAAGAAGTTTCAGTTACTAGCTTTGTAAAACATATGGTCCTGAAATCCCACAGTGACAGATTTCAAGAAGAGCCAAACCTAAGATCCTAAGGAAAAATGTAAATGGATATTTACTCATCACAAGTAAGGAATATTAGCATTAGAATAATCAACAGACATTAATTTGTTAAAGGTTTATTAGAAGGTAAATAATAAATATAACTTATAATTCATTAAATTGTTCTTTACATCATTTACACACACATAGATATGACTATTTGAAATGATTTTTTGCTATATAATTTTAATAAAATGTATTTTAAATTAAAAGTTTAATAGTGAGATTGTTATAATATACAATAAAGCATGAGTAAGCTGTCTCTTTAAATCAAATTGCTGTTATTCATAAAATGAGGAAACTCAGATTATGCTGGTTAGAACTTATATTTTCCACACATTACATTTGAATTTAGAATTGTGTTTTCTATTTTTGTGAAGATTGTCATTGGTATTTTGAAAGCGATTGCATTGAATCTGTACATAACTTTGGGTGGTATGGACATTTTAACACCCATTATGTTGTTTGCATATAGGGACAATTTAACTTCTTCCTTTCCAATTTGCATGACTTTTATTTTTCTCTTGCCTAAGTGCTAATGCTAGGACTTCAGTATTAGTAAAGAGAAGGGGTGAAAGTGGGCATCCTGGTCTTGTTCCAGATCTTGTTCCAGAAAAAGCTTCTAATTTTCCTTGTTGAATATGTTAGCTGTGAATATAACCTTTATTGTGTTGAGTTAAACTTCTTCTGTACCTAATTTATTAAGTTTTTATCATAAATGGAGATTAAATATTGTCAAATGATTTTTCCACATAGAGAAATGATTTGAAGATTTTTGTTCTTCATTCTGTTCATGGGATATATTACATTTAATTGATTTGCATATGTTGGTTTGCATTTATTCTTGCATCTCTGGATTGAATCTCACTTGATTGTGGTAAATGCTCTTTTAATGTATTGTTGAATTCAGTTTACTAATCTTTTTGAAAATTTCTGCATCCATTTTCATCAGGGATATTGGCCTGTAGTTTTCTCTCTGTGTGCGTGTTCTCATCTGGTGTTGGTATCCTTGTAATGCTGGCCTCTTAAAATGAGTTTTGAAGTATTTTCTCCTCTTCAACTTTTTGGAATAATTTGAGAAGAATTGATATTAGTTCTTTTCTAAAAATTTGGGAGAATTCAGCAATGAAGTCATCAGATTCTGCATTTTTCTTTAGTGAGAAATTTCTACTACTATCTGTATCTCATTATTCATTATTAAGAGTTTCTATTTCTTCATTATTCAATTCTGTAGGTTTTATGTGTCCAAAAATTTATCTATTAATTAGGTTAACTGATTTGTTGGTGTGTAGTTGATCAGAAAAAAGTTCTCATGATACTTTGTATTTCTGTGGAATCCATTGCAGTGTCCCCTTTTTCATCTCTTGATCTTACTTGAGTATTCTCTCTTTTTTCTTAGTTTTGCTAAAGGTTTGTTTATTTTCTCTTTTTTAAAAAAACCCTCCATTTTGTTTTATCTTTTATATTATTTTTCTAGCCTACATTTTATTATTTCTGCTATTGTCTTTAAAATTTTTCTTCTTTGTGCTAATATTGGGTTTAGTTTGCTTTTATTTTTCTAGTTCCTTGAGATATAACATTAGGTTGTTTATTTGAGATCCTTTCTCCTTATTTGTGTATGTGTTTATTGCTATAACCTTATTATTAGAACTGCATTTTCTATGTCCTGTAGGTCAGTAGTAATGAATTCCCTCAGCTCTTATTTCTCTGGGAGTCTTTATCTCTCCTTTGTTTTCAAAGAAGAGCTTTGCTGGGTATAGTATTCTTGGTCAGCAGTATTTTGGTGATTTTTTAAAATATATTTTTCATTCAGCACTTTGAATATATCATTGTACTTTCTCCTGGCCAGTAATATTTTTGCTGAGAATTCTGTTCCTAGGCATATTGGAACTCCTTTATACATTATTTGCTTATTTTCTCTTGCTGATTTCAAGGTTCCCTTTTTGTCTGACCTTTGACACTTTTATTATAATATGTCTTGGAGTAGTCGATTGAATCTCATTGGTGATCTTGATCTTCTTTTACCTGGATATTTATCCCTTTCTCTGGGTTTGGAAAGTGTTTTGCTATTATTTCTTTAAATAATATTTCTATCCCCTTATCTTTCTCTACTCACTCTTGAATGCCAATAACTTGTACATTGTACATTTCATCTTTTGATGCTATCCCATAAATCCCTATTAAGCTTTCCTTATTATTTTTAATTCTTTTTTTCTCCTATCTCTGTATATTTTTAAATAACCTGTTTTTCTGTCTACATATTCTTTCTTCTGCTTCAACAACTCTACTGTTGATGATCTATTATATTTTTCAGTTTATTCATTGTAATATTCAGCTCAGCATTTTTGTTTGATTTTTATGTTATTCTGTCAATTTCTTTGTAATATTTTTTATTTTGCTTACTCATTATTTGCCTTATTTTCTTGAATTGTTTCTGTGTGTTTTCTGAAAGTTTTTTAAGCTTCCTTAAAACACTATTCTGTATTTTTTGTCACATAGTATATACATCTCTATCTCTTTAAGCCCAATTACTGGCACTTTATTTTGTCCATTTGGTGATGTCATGCTTCCCTGATTGCTCTTGATCCTTGTGGTCATAAGTTGATGCCTGTCCATTGAAAAGGTAAGTACTTATATCAGTTATCACAGTATGTCTTTCTCTGGAAATATTCTTCAACAATAAGCCTATTCAAAGATTTTGAACCAGTCATCTGGTATGGTCCCTAAGCCAGTAGTCACCGCAGTCATTGAAGACCTGGGGGTACTGTACGCCTATGACTTCGGTGGCTAGTGTGCAGCAGTGGGCTGGAATTCCATGGCTTCTGAGGCTGGTACGGGGCCAGCCTAGAATTCAGTGGTCCCTGAGGCTGGCACAGCATTGGGGTGCACTGATAAGCGCATGGCCATTGAGATCTGCATGTAGTTATGGGTTATTTGGAGTCCAAAGCTGCTATAGTCAGCCAGTGGTGATGCAGACCAGAATTTAAGTCCATCTCACACATAGATAGCTACAGGTTCCCATCTGGCACTGAGGCAGATCTAGAGGCTCAGTTTACAGATATTGGCATATAGGTCTGTCTGGTGCTGGGCTTTACTGTGGCATGGCTCAGGAATGAGGTCCAAGCAAAGTCCAATGCTTACTTCTCTGTCTTTCTCCTAAAATAGTATAGCTCTCTTTGTTCTGTTTCCTGATGTTGGGGGAGGGGTAGCATGAGTAAGGCGAAATTGTCCTTCCTACATTCTTCAATGCATCTTTTCTTATTATTATGCTATAACCAGGTACTGTGATCTCTCACGTGGTTTTCTTAGCTCTTGTAAAAACATTTTAATGCATGAACAATTGTTCACATTGATGTTCCTATGGGAGAATGGTCACTGGAGAATCCTATTCCAATATTTTGCTCCACTTTCCTCCCAAATGAAAAGAAGACATTTGAGAAACCAATGTGCATAAGAAAATAATAAAATTCATTTCCACTTATAAGTTAGAAACATGTTTCAGGATCTGGTTAAAAACGTTTTATAAATTAGGTCATCCAATTTATCCAGTAAACAGAAAAGTCAAAAAGTAAGAGGGTAATTAACTATTACTCTTCCTAAATGAGTACATTATAACTCATACTGAGATTGGTGAGTCAAAAGTCAACATCTTATCAGTGGCTGAATCAGTCTTCCTGGAACATAAATGAAAGTCAGCCTCATTCCAATAAGCAGGATTAGGTTCTATGGTAGATAAGATTCCATTGAACTGTAAGCTATATAAGGCTTTATGTAAGAATATTTGGAGCATACATTGTGTTAATAATTTGATTCTTTCCCTAAGAAGTTGTTAAAGAAAATAAGAAACAAGACGTGCACATAATATACACTTTTAGTCATCAAAATAACTAAATATATAAAGCATCATATTAAAGCTCTAAAATATATAAAGTAGAAAAAAAATGAATAAAACTCTTCACCAGATTCAGAGGAGTTTATAATCTACTACCAAAGGGAGATATACACATGACACAAGAAGGTCAGATTAATTTCATGGAGGTAAATAAAGGAAGGGTTTGTAGAGTATGTACAGTTTAAACTGAGACTTGTAAGATAGGCATAGCTTTTCAAATGAAGAGAGTAGTGTTGCTTTTTATGTGGAAGAGGTTACTGGAACATAGACTTAAAAAAGAAATTTAGGAGGAGCATAATGTGAAAAAAAAATGAGCTACAAGCTAATTTGCATGATAGGTAAATGGAAGAGTAAAAAAAATGAGCTACAAGCTAATTTGCATGATAGGTAAATGGAAGAGTAAAAAATGTTGTATTTCAATTAGGATCAGTCTTTGAAGTTGAGAAGGAGGGAAGATAGAAATATGGAAATCAAAGCCATTGTTTTGGTGAAAGACAATACTATAGAAATAATAAATTGGGCCAGGTGTAGTCACTCACAACTGTAATCACAGCACTTTGGGAGGCTAAGGCAGGTGGATTGCTTGAGCCCAGGAGTTCAGGACCAGCCTCAGCAACATAGCAAAACCCGTCTCTACAAAAAATATATATATATATATTCACCAGGCATGGTGGTGCATACCTGTAGTCCTAGCTACTTGGGAGGCTGAGGGCTAAGGTGAAAGAATCACCTAAGCCCAGGAGGTGGAGGTTGCAGTGAGCCAAGATTGTGGCACTGCACTCTAGCCTGGGGGATAGAGTAAGACCCTGTCTCCTTGTCTCAAAAAAAGAAAAGAAATAATAAATTGGCTTATAAGCCTTCCAAAAATAATTTGATTATTATAGATTAGGGGACATTCTGAAATGACTTATAAAATAATATCTATGAGGTGCTCAATTACTAACAAAAAAGGGACCTGGCTACTAAATGTTAATTAATCCCAGGAAATATCGGTCAGTATCTAGGTCCCACCATTTTTAGAGCATGATCAGGATAAAAATTGCAAAGTGTTAAACATACTTATTCTAAAAAGTCACTAATTCAGATGTCTGGATCCTATGGGAAGTTATACTGGCCCAGAGACAGGATATAAAGATTGAGACAAGAAAGCTAAAAGTAGGATGAAAAAGACAGTTTAACTGTATATCTAAGACATGCAGGAAAGAGTATGAATACAGATGGTGTCAGAAATCTGATGGAAAAATCAGGTAGGGTAGTATGAAGTCAGAAGTTGGCAAATATATCTTTAAAAAAGGACACACAAATTCACTTAAAACAAAACACACACACATACACATAAATATGGGTCATCTTAAGAGGTAAAAAATCACTAGGAAAAAATAACCATAAGAAATTCACACTCCATATAAGTCGCAATAGATAAAAATATTAACAAGATCTGTCAAGGAGAGAGGAGGCAGCGGATGTCACATATTATTCACTCTACATAAAATCAAAGTTCTTGAGTCAACATCTGTATCTCCATGAGAGATCCATTCATGGCAAAAATAAAAAAAAAATCACACTGAGCTGCATCAGGGAGAACCAAGACATCTAACAAATATGTATGTATTAAACAACAGTGGAATTTAAAAGCATTTAAAATAATTGGAATTATATTTATCCTTTATTTGAAAAACTATTCTAAGCTCCTGTGATTCTGGCTTATCAATTCATACTCACATAGATGAAGTCAGGAAAATCTTCCAAATAATTCTAGAATGTCAAAACACTAAGATACCAGTCGGTGCAACAAGAAGCTGGAGCCAAGAAGTGAATATCCGTATAATCAATTGAAACACTGAGGAAAGCCAAATCTAAACTTATTCTTACAGTAACAATTTAAATTTTCTATGCATCATAACAATTATTGCCCATTATCAATTTCTGTTTTCAAGATCAGGTCTCATTCATTTTATTTCTTTCAACCTCCTCAGCAGGTTCTGGATTCCCTGCTTGATCTCCTTGGTTCTCACACCATAAACAATGGGGTTCAGAGCTGGGGTAATGAGGTGGTGCAGGATGTTGAGCAGGATGGGGATGTCAGGAGGAATTCTCTTACTGGCCAGGTTAGTGATGAGCAGAACCAGCAGGACTGTGGTGAAGAAAAGGATAAGAATGAAGTGGGAACCACAAGTACCTAGAGCTTTGGCCATAGCTCCCTCAGCCTTAATCCTTAGCACAGTTTTCAAGATAAAAAAGTAAGAGAGAACAATGAGGATGAGGTCAGAGCCCAGAAGAGTCCAACCTATAACAAACTGGTAGTGCTGATTCAAGGTGGTGTCATCACAAGAGAGTTTGGAAACAGACACATTAGTACAGATGCAGTTCTTGATAATGTGTCCTGCACAGTATCGGAGTCGAGAAGAAAGTATGGGGATAGGCATAGTAAGAAGGTCATTCCTGGCCACAACAAAGATGGCAGCCCTAGCCACAAATTGATCAGTGATGATAGATGAGTACTGTAGGGGCTTACAGATGGCCACATAGCGGTCATAGGCCATGATCATGAATGTACAGGACTCCATAGCCAGAAAACTGTTCATGATGTACATCTGGAGGAAGCAGGCAGGGAAGCTGATCGACCTGAAGTCAAACCAGAAGATGGCCAGGACCTTGGGGATAACGGTGAGGCAGAGCACAATGTCCAGCAGAGAGAGGAGGCTGAGCAGGTGGTACAGGGGCTGGTGCAAAGAGGCCTCCAAATAGATGGTGATCAGGAGAGTGGCATTGGCCAACATGGCCAGGAGGAAGAGGAGGCTGAAGGGTAGGGACAGCCAGTGCTGCCAGCTCTGGAAATTGGGGAAACAAATGAGGAAGAATTCAGAGACTGGGGAAGTGGAGTGGTTGCTGGGTAAAGTCATGAAATAAATCCTCAGCTGAGAAAATTTCACCTGAAATTGTGTTTGATAAGACATAGGAATTAGAAATAGAAAGCAAAGCTATTAAAACATTTGCTAACACTTTCTAATTTATAAGATGTATGAGATACAGATGACCAATCCCAAATGAAGGCAATGTTTAGTAAATATTAACATAAATAGTGGAATGCTTAGTAAATTATTACTGAAGTTAATTTAGAAAAGCAAATAAAACAGACTAAAGTTTCGAAGAAAAATGATAGAAATTACTTCATTAAAACAAACTGTAAACTACAAAAAATTCCAAATGATATTGACAAAACAAATTGAATAATTATAGATGCCACAGGCTAGAAATACCCAAGTTTATAATCTAGAATTAATAAATGTGTCATAAAATAATTTAATTATAGGGTCCTTTCAGTAAGTAATGTATAATTTGTTAGATGGGAGAAAATAAGTATTTCTCTCTTTTTATTAAACACCAAAGGACATTTCAGATGGAAAAAATGTGTGATATATTCCCAATCCTATTATAAACTAGAAGAAAATAAAAGTAAATATTGATTAAATGTATAGAGGAACTCCCAATCTCCCTAACACTCTGACATATTGTCCTGTGGCACAACTCATCCTGGACATACTTAATCCAAGCCTGCACAAGTGCATCTCAATGTTCCTATAGAAAGTTGTGCTCAAAACTTATGCTGTTGTCATCAAAATTCATAACCACTCATCTGAAATGAAAATTTAGTACACATATTCATGATGATAACCTTCTCTGGTTAATTCATTCCTTTATCCACTTCAAGCAATTTTTCATATTTTCTATTCTTTTCAAATACTAAAGCTCCTCTTCTCTCAGATAACCTCTCTAACTGCTTCATAAAGACAGTAGAAACATCAGATACAAGTCCTCTACTTCCCATGATAGACTCATAAACTCATCAACATCTACATCCTTGCTTTGCTTTCCTCATTGCACCAGCAGAATCGAGGGTCTATCCTTCCTCTGAATGGCAATCCTTGACCTCACATTTTGATTCTATTCACCTTAGGAACCCTGGCTCACGAATTATCCAGCCCATTTCCTGTGCATTCAACCTCTTCTAAATCCTTCCCATGGATATTCAAAATGTTCAAGTCTCTCATATCTTAATTACTTTCTTTATCTATCCTGCATTCTCATTTGGATAAAGATCATGATTTCATTTTTTGGAGAAATATACTAATCTCTTTCTTCTTCCTATTTCACACCCAAACTTTTAAAGGTTCAAAGAAGGCAATGGACATCTAAAAAGGGACAAATGACTGTTGATTCAGTAGTCCAATTGAGAAGTGATCAGTGTATGAACAAATAGCTCTGGGATGGCTGTGAGGATGAAGAAAAGGGACATATCTGAGAGGTATAAATATAATGATAGTGATATAAATACAGTGATTACACTAGTTTCATAGAAGAGGAGAAGATAGAATTCTAAGACTGCACTGTCTGTTCTGTCTCAAATTACTAAGTAAGTTTCACAAAATAAAAAATAGGCTTTGAAAAGACTTGATATATGGTGTGGAGGCAGAGATATGGATCCAATTTTGATGTGTTGTTTATTGGCTCTGTAAGCTATCAAAATATATATGAAATGAAATGTTAGAGAAAGTAGTTTAAACTCATTTGAAAGTTAAAGAACTGGAAATCATCAACACACAACATATAGTTCAAACCATAGGACTTTAAATAGATATAATTATGTAGAATATATAGATTAAAGACAAAAAAACATAAAATAGAACCCTTAGAAATGCCTATCCTTGATTTTAGGACCAGAAGAGGTAAAGATATTGCAAGAAGACCAAAAAGGAATGAACAGAGAAATAATTGAAAATGAAATGGAGTGGACAGACATGCTCACATGAAGCATTTCAGCTATGTGAGAAAGAGATTATCCATTGCATTCAGCAATTAGGTAATCATTGGTGATCCTAGCAAAGAGTTCCATGTGAAGACAGAAATAGAATGGGGGAGGACAGGGAGCCAGCAGAGCTGGAGTGAATGGACACAGGGAGGACTAATTACCTCATCAGAGATCTTCAACAAACAGCTTCACATGGAGGGAAAACTAAATGCACAGGTAGAACGGCATGTATCAATGCATAGATTTTTTTTTTTTTTTTACAAAAATCAAAGTGAATACATTTAAACTGTGGGGCAAAAGTCTAGGAAGAAAAATATAGATGATTAAAAAGAGGAAAAAAAGATAAAGCAACAGCCCTGGAGAGACAACTACTATTTCAATTAAATACTGTACAAAACACACCACTGCCTAACTTTCTCTTCTCTCCTTCCCCAATCCACTGTTAAATCTCTGAGATACACAGGACGCATTTTCTATCTTTTATCTGATACTGTTTTTACAATATCCAGAACTTAATAAATTCTTGATAAATGCTTGTGGGGTAAATGTTTGATTTTTATTTTGACTAAAACAAGAAAAAAAAAAAAAAAGGAAAATATTAACCAAAGAAATCAAGGGAACTGACGGGGAAATCTAGGCAAGCCACAGGAAGAAGCTCAAGATAATAGGAGCTGAGTGAGCTGTGGGCCAGAGGTAGAGACAGTGACAAAACTAAGCTCATGTGGAAGCTTGGGTAATCTTAAACAAGGCATTCTACTTTAGTGCTCTCTGGCCCCAAAAGCTGGCACTCGATGGGAGGGATACCCCTGATTCACCCCACTGACCTACTAGGTCATTTGCCTTCATACATACATCACCACCAAACTACCTGGTAGTTCCTTCAAATGGAAACGAAAGCCTGAGAGATCTTGCAGTCCACCACGGCAGAATAGATCCCGTCACCCTAATATATTCTTATTTCTTGCCCTCTGCTCATTCTCTTTTCTGTAATCCACTATGTCTGAGAGATCACTTCCTTAACTTGTGTTTTTTCTCACCTCTTATGTGTAGTCCCTATCTATGACCATGCTTCACAATTCCCAGATTCCAATCCATCCTCGTCAAGTCCTCAATCCTTTCTCACATTGCAGACAATTGTTCTGATGAAATTCATCTTCTGCTACCTGGCTTTTACTAAGAAGACTGTACTTAGTATAAAGAATACGAGAGGACAGATGAAAAGGAATAGTAGTAGAGAAAAAGTGGTTAGATACCTGAACATACTGTCAGGTGGAGTTACAGGCATAAATATGAGTCAAACTTTTGATATATTCTGTTAATAACTATTACAAAGGAACACTGCACTAACAGAAGTAACAGTGATCAGAAAGAGATGGTTAACTTTTCTTCTGCTTTGCTTTTGTTCAAATATGCTTTGGATATTGTATCCGATTTAATTTACCTTGATTTAGGGACCACTTCTGAAACTGTACCACATAAATAAGATACCAAAAACTCATTATAAGGAGCATTTAGGAAAGTGTAGATATTTTAACTAAGTGAAGCCTTCCAAAATATATGACTGACCTTCAAGGGGAAGAAGAAAAAACTAGGGCTATTACAAAAAAATCACAGGGAAGTCTGTTCCTGCTGCTATAAATCATGTCTAATAATCAGAGGAAGCTTTCTCTCCCATTAACACCGGGACATGTCAGGAGAAGGCAGTGAGCACATTTCCTCACCAGCTCTTGCCCTGAGCCTCAAGGACCTGGGTGTCCTGTGTCATATTAAACTCAAAATGCTGTCCCAGAACCCTTCTTTTTCTCTTTTAAATCCCTAGATTGCTATTTCTGGGCACATGTGCATGAAGTTCTCAGCCACAGAACACATGGGATCCCTTGTACGCAATAATATGAGATTGCTGAGACTATAGAAGAGCCTTCCAGCAGGAAACTAGGATTCCTAAATCCTCATGCATCCAATATCAGAACTCACAGGCTTTTCCTTCTTTTTTCATGGGGGCCAATATAAGCATGAGGAGAAAGTCTCCTGTTGAGTCCTCTGGTGACCCAGGGTCTCCTGACCCACCATAGCATTGTTCCCCTCCCTTACCCATGAAACTCACAGAGGATACAACAGATTAAGTCCTGCTTGAGGAATCAGCTGCCTGCATCCAGTTACCAGAGCTGAGACTGCTTCTGAATCTAGCAGATTTTATAATCTACTGTCAGTTCCTCACACTGTCCCATCCCCTTCTCCAAGCCAGCTGGGAGCAGTAGTTTGGGATACTGGGACACGGCAGCTAAGTTAAAAGTTCCCATGAGACCTAGGCTGGAGTGCAGTGACACAATCTTGGCTCTCCGCAACCTCTACCTTCCAGGTTCAAGCAATTCTCCTGCCTCAACCTCCCTAGTAGCTGGAATTACGGGCACCTGCCACCACGCCCAGCTAATTTTGGCATTTTTAGTAGAGATGGGTTTTATGGTGTTCGCCAGGCTGGTCTCAAACTCCTGACCTCAAGTGACCAGCCTGCCTCAGCCTCCCAAAGTGCTGGGATTACAGGCATGAACCACCGCACCTAGCAAAGAACAGGATTTCAATGTGGGAGAGAATTCAATTCTGTGTCTATCTGCTTGACCACACAGACCATCCTCTTAAACATTCACTTATTCTACATTCAACACTGTCATTGCACTGTCTGCCACCATACCACCACTCTGCCACTGCCAGCACATGTGCTGCCCTGACACTGCCTGAACACACATCCAAGCGAGCACTTTCCTGCCACTTCCCTGATGAAGCACTTTTGCCAGCACCCTCCATTGGGCTGTTGTTGCCAGGGGACTGAGAACACCTTGACTCCTCCAGTGTAGTAGGTGCTTAACTCAGAGGGGCAAGAGAACAAAGCCAGGGGCCTGGTCCCAGCCCCTCAGGGTTAGAGCACACAACCCAGGAGTGCTGAGCTGAGTCTTGGCCCCCTGAAAATGTCCAGAAATGAAGCCAGTTGACTGAATCCAAATTATATCACAGTGAAACCCTCAGGGACACCAAAGAATAAAAAAGCAAAAAGCCTCATCCTAAGGAGAAATTCAAAGATTCATGGAACATCAGCCAACACAGGGGAGAAAAAAACAGCATAAGAACTTATGGTGGCAGTGGCAGTGCAATGAGAGTGGTAGTGTAACAGCATGGTGGGGTCCACGCATACATGTGCATTGGCAGTGGCAGGGTGGTGACATTGAGGTTTGTGTCCATGTGTGTACATCAGTGATGGTGGAGTGTCAATGTCTACATGACTCTAGCAAAGCATTGGGGGCAGGCTGCAGGTGATTGCATGCCAGTGGTTGGGGGGCTTCTGCCAAAGCTGACAATTAGGTGGAGTCTGTTGGTGAAGGAGCTATGGCAGTTGTCACTGCGAAGCTTGCTGATTTGGCAACTGAGGCTGTGACACAAGCATGTGCAGCCATGCTGGGACCCTGAGAGAGGCTGGCAGACAGGGTAGCACTCAGATCAGACTTGCCTGGTCCCACAGGTAAAATATCCCTGTTCCCTACAAGTTCAACAGCCAACAAGGTCAAAGACACCTAGAGGAGCATGGCAAGCCTTGGGGGACGAGTGTGTCTGACTGTGCTCCACTGCAGCCAGTCCAATGCCAAACCTTCTGGGCTCCAAATGGGTTGGAGTCCCGTTCCTTCCACATATGCAAACAGTTGTCCCTGACAGCTCAAATGTTCATGGAGGTTGTGGGGTCCCCTGCAGCTAGGATTGCAGAGGCCCATGGAGAGTGGGCCACATCATGCCTATATAACTCATCCCTTCCCCAGGAGCCACTCAAGGCTAGAAATGAGTCCTGGTGCTCAGAAACCCCATGCAAGATTTTCAGCTTCCTCCTCCTTCAGCCCAGGTCTGTGTCCTCCCTCAGTCTGCTCTCAATTCTTTCCTTCCAAAGATCTGCCCAGAGTGTGTCAGTCTTCTTGACGGTTTTGTCTCTTGGTGGGAGAAACTCTTCATGGCTGTGTCTAGTCAGCCATATTGGCTCTTCTCTATTCTGCTCTCGTCCTTATGAATACCTTACTCTTGTTTATCTCGGACTTAATTTATTGTTCCTTTTCTAAATTACTAAGTTGTTAACTTAGATAATTGATTTTACATCTTTTCTCTTTTCTAATATAGGCATTTAAAGTACAAATTTTCCTCTGTTTTCTCTTTGGCTCATCTCACAACTTTTGCTATATATACTTTTCAATCAGTTTGAGATATTTTCTAACTTCCTCTGTGATTTCTTACTTGTTCCATGGGTTATTTATATGTATTTAGTCTAGTTTCCAATTACTTCGCTCTTTCCATGCTATCTTATTTTCTAATTTAATTCTGTATTGGTAAGAGAATACGACCTTGCGCACACACACACAAAAAAAAAAAAAAATCCTCTGCCCCTGCTCCCTATGGCTTTCCAAGCCCCCATGTGACATTGTCAATAATCCCTAAGTTCCCTCACCCAAAGGATGAGAATCCTCCCTCCTACTGCCTATTAGAAAAGAATCGTTCTACTATAAAGACACATGCACACATATGTTCATTGCAGCCCTGTGTACAATGGCAAAGACCTGGAACCAACCCAAATGCCCACCAATGATAGACTGGACAAAGAAAATGTGGTACATATACACCATGAAATACTATACAGCCATAAAAAACGATGAGTTCGTGTCCTTTGTAGGGACTTGGATGAATCTGGAAACCATCATTCTCAGCAAACTGACCCAAGAACACAAAGCCAAGCACTGTATGTTCTCACTCATAGATGGATGTTGAACAATGAGAACATGTGGACTCAGGGAGATGAGCAGCACACACAGGGGACAGTTGGGGAGGGTAGGGGAGAGATAGTGGGGGGTGGGGAGGGAGGGGAGAGTGGGGAGGGATAACATGGGGAGAAATGCCAGATATAGTATGCACCTAAAGTAAAATAAATAAATAAAAAGAAAAAAACTTCATTTCCACACTTTATACTTCCTCAGAGGAAGGTTATTCTTCCTCTCAGCACAAGGGGGACACATGGGAGTAAATACTTCTCTCTTCTCTCTGGTTTCTTCTCTCCTTTGCTTGGTTTTCCATATGGGAAGAAGGGTCACTAACACAATTGGGCAGAAACTGATGGGAGCAATGAATGCAATGGATGTGGTTATTGTGTTTCCAAAGTACAAAACATGTTCTAATATGTTTCACTACCTGCTTCATGGGTATGTAAGGATGGTAGTAAACTCTCTTTTTTGTATTAAATGCCATAGCCTAACCTGCATAAGAGCTTGTGACCTGATTTTTAGAGAGATACATGGAAAACAACTATTCACTATTTTGCATTTTATATTCCACTAAGGTTTCATTTATGAGATTTTGCAACAGCCATCAGATGCCTGGATAATTGTGCTTGGAGTCTACTTTTCAAATCAAATTTCATCATACGGTTACTTTTGTTTTTTTAATGAATATTTATAAAACAAACATATACACAGTACTTGGTATTACTCCTTCTTTATCCTAAGCACAAATGTAAACAAATTAAAAACACAAAGAGATACCTTTCAAAACAAATTTACTAAACACATATATATATTTCTTCCTTGAAAATAGAAATTACATTTCATTATTACTAGAAACGATTACAGCCTCTTCTCCGCTTACATTTGTTTTAAATAAGTAATACCCATACTGCAGTAAATGATGTTTTCTTACACTGGCCTTCTCAGCTGCTTTGAAGAGACCCTATTGGTACACAGAAGCCAATGATCTGGGGCTCCCAGCACTAACTTAGAGGTTTTGAAGACACCCTAAACCTAAAACCAACCAAAGAGTGGGACTTTACAATTACAATGTTGCACGGCCTATCAATGGACAAAGGCAAAAAAGATGACACATCCAGAACTATCATCTGTTTCTCCTATCCCCAAGTCCTACTGACACAGGGAGTAGAGAAATGTTGAAATCAAAAGCAAAAGAAAAAATGGCAAAAATAGTCACAAATCCAGGTATCCAGGTACATCCCAATAAGCCAAGTATCTGTGGGTGTTCTTTAGTATGGCACTAGTAAGATTAGAAGGACTGCTCACTGCAAAATGGTCTATATTCATGTATCTACACCAGTCATAGGCTCCTCGACGTGTGTCTCCAGAAGGCGCCTCTGGGGAAAACTATGAGAATATGTTCAGATCAATTCTTTTGGGTAAACACCCCGAGCACTCGCTGGCGGATCTGCTGAGTCTTCACCCCATAGACAAGAGGATTGAGTGCAGGTGGCACGAGGAGATACAGTGTGGCCAGAAGAACATGAACATGATGGGGTACATGGTGACCAAAGCGGTGAGTGAGGAAGGAGAAAATTCCAGGGACATAGAAGATGAGAATCACACAAACATGAGATCCACATGTGCCAAAGGCCTTCAGTCGGGCCTCACTCCCTGGTACCTTCAGCACTGCCTGGAGGATGCGGGCATAGGAAACACCAATGGCCAAGACATCCAGCCCAATCACAAGCAAGGCCACAGTCAGTCCATAAGCTTGGTTCACCGTGGTTGCTGAGCAGGCAAGTTTCACAACAGCCATATGTTCACAATAGGCATGGCCTATGACGGTGGCCTGGCAGAAGATAAGTTTTCGCAACAGAATGGGGAAAGGGATGAGGAGTAGTATTCCCCGCACCAGCACTGCCATTCCAATGCGTCCTATGACCCCTGGATGCAGGATCGTGGAATGGTGCAAGGGGTGACAAATGGCTACATAGCGATCCAGGGCCATGGCCACAAGTACCCCCGACTCCATGGAGGAGAATGCATGGATGAAGAACATCTGAATCAGGCAGACAGTGTACCCAATCTCATGGGCGTGAACCAGGAGCACTGCAAGGGCTTTGGGTGCAGTGGAGGAGGCCAGAACCAGGTCGATGGCAGCTAGCATGGACAGGAAGAGGTACATAGGTTGGTGCAAAGAGGAGTCCATCCAGATGATGAAGAGAATGGTAACATTGCCCACTAGAGCAAGGAGGTAAAGGATGCCCATGGGCAGTGCAATCCAGTGCTGGCTTTCCTCTAAACCCGGAATCCCTACCAGGAAAAAAGAAGGCTGGGGTGGCCTCCAGCTGGAATTGCTAAGTGCCATTATCAATGGCTTGGAGGGGAAAGAGAAAAAAGAAACCAAAGTCATGATTTCTGCATTTCTGGTATGTTATCACATTGCCCAAATGTGGCAACCATCTTCATGAGAAGAATAAAGTGACTTCAACTGCAACCAAAGGGTATAAAGTTAGATGCAAGGAAGAAAATCTCCTTTTTTGGAGATCATTATTTTACTGGTGAGACAGACACAAGTCTGAATTAATACAGGCGCAGTTTTGTTTAGAGATAAAAGTAAACATAAGCTGCTTTTGGAGAGATGCTTAAACTCTACTATTCAGTTGTTTATATTTTGGAACTGTCTTTTTCAAAGAGTTATTTTTATCACCCTCTTGGCATTACTGAGCACTGCAAATCAATCTATTGTTTTTGAAATTTGTCTTAGTTTCCATGACATGTAATTCCAGAGCTATTCTTCCTGTTGCCTCAGTCCCACCATTTTCTCTATTTCATTGTGTCATTGATTCCCGGGATCCATCCTCTCCTTTCATCCCTCTCTGTACATTATCTCTGAATTGATTTCATCTATTCCCATCGTTTTAACTGTTTATATATTTTTATTTCTTCCAAATGTATGTTTCTTTATCCAAATATCTTTCTGAAATATAAATTAATTTTTCCATTTGCTTTGTGAATATCTGTACCACATCCTCTACATATTCAACACTGGATTAATTCACCTATTTTTTCCAAATTTGGTCTACTTACTTTTTGGCATGAATTTTGAATCACATCCCTATCTACCTACGTAATCCAATCTAAAAACTTATGAAGCTATCTTTATTCATAATCCCACATCCCTTTTATCCCTTCGCCAATTTGTGTTGACTTTATTTTTAACCCTACTTTATATCCACTTCTGCTTCTCAACCCCCAATGTCTCTGCCTTAGTTCATACCCAACTTCGCTAAACTGGACTATTTCATAGACCCAAAACTCTGAATATGATAGCTATAAAATCTGAAATGCCACGTGGGGATATATTTCCTAGGCTTCTTTGTTTTTGTTTTTGTTTTTTTTCCAGAATCAACTTGAAATAACAATGACATTTTTATTGAGACCTCCAGGGGAATCTCATAATCTTCAAAAAATTCACCCTCAGTGCTTAACATCCCACACAGAGAGGAAGTCCATTCTCTTTTTTTAACCTACCCCCTTCTGTTGCAAGCTTCAGCCCATTTCTCATTTTTTAGCTAAGAAGTCAGAGAACAGCTGTGCATTTGTGGAAGGCACTCAAGACTTGAATAGAAGCAGTGAGAGAAGAGCAGTAAGATTAAAACCAAACTACAGAGGGTGAAGCAGAGAAGCAGAGACACATGCGCCTGAGTATAACCTGCTTCTACTTTTGTTGGATGGCTCGTAAGCCTGGAGTAAAAGTCTACAACTGCTTAGTAAACGGTAATTTTTTTTTAACTTATTTTGGTTTAATTTTTAACTCGGAGTAGGTTGGGGTGGGAAGTGGATAAGGGATAAAAAATCACCTATTGAGTACAATGTACACTATTCGGGTGATGGGTACACTAAAAGCCCAGACTTCGTCGTTGTGCAATTCATCCATGTAACCAAAACTATTACTCTTAAAGCTTTTGAACTTTTTAAATAAATTCTAATTAATTGTAATTAAAGTAAACAGGAGGTCCCTCTATGATTCTTAGAGGAAAAGCAGAAAGACTATTTTCAGGAAACTAAAGACAAAGCTGTACTTAGTTCTTCAGTCGCAAAGCAGAGGACAATTACTGAAGAGTTGAGGTTGTTCAGCTAGGTACTATTCATCTAATTCAGTCCAGGCAATCTACCTTTTGTGAAGTTGTGCTCAAATTCTGTAAGGTACTATGACATGTCTCCTTTTCTTTCCTATTGTAATGCCTTTACCACTTTATCCCTGCATTAATGACCTCACTCTCTAAACCAGCCAGCATGTCAGTCTTTGAAGAGCAGCGACTCAGCATTACTTATTTCAGCAGCCCCAGGGTGAGCTCCAGAAGCACCTGGAATCTAATCAGTAATCAGTAACATTGGATGAATAAATAAACACTCATAAGATTCGATTAAAAAACAAATAAGTGTATTAGTGTCTTAAAAGACTGAGAATCACAGGAAGGTGATAAGGCAGAGGCTAAATTTAAGGGTAGGAATCATGTAGCAAACAAAGGCATGTCTTTTGAGGGGGTTACTGATTGAGCCTCAATATTCTTCATTTTAAGTGATGCTTTGGGTGCTTCATGGCAGAAAGAGACCTGCTGAATCCCTGTCATGAGAGAAGATGGTGAAATCCTGGATGTGTTCAGAAATAAGAGGGTTCCTTTGGTCCCTAGTAATCACTCTGCACTACCTCTAGCAGGCAGAGAGGCTTCATCTATTGGATATGATCTGGCCCTCTCTCTTCAATCTCCTTCTTAACAGTGGCCTGGACTCCATGATAGTGGGGGAAAAAAAAGAAGAGGCAAGAACTTACAGAAACAGTAGGGGAGGGAGGGCACAGAAACAATGGGTCCATGATAATGACCTAATAAAGAGGAAGATACAGAACTCAAGCACCAAGAGGCAGAGCTCACAACATGGATGATAAAATAAGCCTGGCACAGGGCACTGTTCTCCTGGTCTCTGGGCTGTCTTTGAGGATATGCCCTTTAAAGTCTTGGAGCAGCCTGGAGGGAGACTCAGAAACACAGAAAGAACTAGGAAAGGGAGAAAACTCCCAGATTCAGGAAGGTCTGGGAATTTTGATGAAGAATTTTCTGGAAAATTCAAGAAAGTTTCATTACAACCCTCCCTGCTCAGCCCCGGGAACTCCCTAAGTGTCCAGTTCAATCTCCATGATGACCCTCTGCCCTAGCTTGTGGGTAACAATGATGAAGAGGATTTTCTATTCAGAAGGGCTGCACAAATATCAAAGAGGACATCAAACACATCCCTCGAGGTCTGTGCAGCTAATGTTTTCCAAAGATATGAAACATGATTACTAGCTCGGGAAAAGCTTGGGTAAACGTAGCAAATCAGCTATATCTACATGCACAATATGTATGGTGAGGATGCCACCTAGGACCATGCCAAATGGCCCTGTGAATGCCTCCGGCTGACCATGAAGGCTTAAAGAGATTGGGAGGTGTCCGTATGTTCACAGGTTAACCCTCAGCCCTACCCTAATCACTTTTCATCTATACTATTCTTTTCTTTCCCTTTCCCCCACTCTCATAGAGTCCAGGCTACTGTTAAGAAGGAGATTAAGGAGAGAGGGACAGGTCATGTTTTGTAAAAGAGCCTCCCTGCCCACTAGCATCTAAATGGTAAAAGCCAGGAATAGACAGTTTGTTTGAGGAGTCAGGCTTGGAGAGAACAACTAATCTAACTTGGAGGGAAATAAAATTAAGACTACTAAGAAGTGTCAGACAAGAGGTATTGGGAGAGCCACACTAGATAAGCCAAGAAATAACCCCTGTCACAAGGGCTATAAGAAGGGCAGAATTCAGATGGCAGTAGTCTTCCCCCAGCCATAAGCCCAAAAACTTGCCTCATTTTCCATTGCTGAATTCCTGTGCACCAACTTGTCACTGTTTCTGTCATCTTCATCTGAAAGGAAAGTTTATACTTGATACTCTCCCAAGGCAGGGACGGTGACTGTGAGCACCACTGGGCAAGCAGGATGTTATCACCAATTGGCAGGTCCCAGAGGACTCATACACAACCTGGACAAAGCCTAAGTTAGCCCCCAGATTGTCTGGAAAGCCACAGAGCTAAGTATACAGCCCGCAGAGATGGGTGATTGGGCAGAGAGGCCAAGCAGGGAGTGGCTCTTGCATGTAACCAGGTGGCCCATGTCTGTCCAGTGTTGGTCATTACCCCTAAGCCTGCACATCCTGACAGCATGCTAGGAAACCTCATGCTGTAAGCTGGAAAATTTCACATGCTCTGTGAGCTCAGCCTTCTCATTCTCATAGAACAATTTCAACCCTAGTAAATTCATTAGTGGATGCTGTGGTTCAATGTGCTCATTCTTTCAGATGCTAGGAGTGTTGGCTGCTGGAAGTTCATAGCTAAGTCTCTCCCCTTTGGCCAAAGACAGAGGCCTCACCCAAGGTTACTTTTCCTTCTCCAGTGCAGTTCACAACCAAAGACTGCTGATACAAGATTACAAAGTCCTGGCCCCCTTCCTTCAACCTTAAACAACACTGCAGAGTCATCCTAGCTCAAGAGGTCCCACTGGGTTAGCTGAGGCATTTGAGACAACTAGATCATAGTTTAATTCTTCTTCTGCCCAATTTTGCTCCTCTCGTTCCCTGACAATGATTGTTCTCCTGTATGTTTCTTGACAAACTCCCCACATGCACATTTCTGCTTCAGAGTCTGTTTCTGAAAAAACGACAAATGCAGCCTGCCACAGGTGAGTTAAGCATTTTTACTCTCCTCTGTAGAACTGTGACAAACTCAAGGGCCTCAACCCCATTGCCATGGTACATGTGAGACAAATAGGGCTTCTCCAACAGTCTATCCCCAGAAGTTCCCAATGAGATGGACTGAGGCCTTCTCTATCTTATTTTTCCAACACCAAGCAGATCCTTTCCTTGGTCCCATCCCTGTCACTCAGTAACAGAGCTTCCCATTGAAGTAACAGAGCTTCTCCGCTAGGGGGAGCAAAGCTTCCCACTCCACTTAGTGGCCACATTCTCCTTGCGAACAAATAAGTAGATTGGTAAATTAGGTATCTACCAATTCCAGATAGTCTATTAAATGTTCATAAATAGCTATATGATAAAATGATTTTCACTAGTCATGGGATGTGATATATTAAGGACATAGGACCTCCCAAGTCTGGGGAGTTCAAGAAAGCCCTCCCTATTCAAGTTAGTGCCTATAAGAATTGGTTAAAAGTGAAGGGAGGTGTGGGGATAGGCTGGGGACACAAGCCCGTGAAGCAGGAGCAAAGGGACTCTGATATTTTCAAAGACCTGAAAGGACTGTTAAAATTTGCAATTGTAGTACTCAGGAGCGGAGCCTAGAGCTTAAGCAGGAACCTGAGCATGCTGGGTCTTTTAGGCCATGTTAAAAGGCCATGGCACACCATGAAGGATTTTAAGCAGAGGATTGAGACATGATCAAAATCTCATTAACAAAATATCGTCCTATGAGAATTGATGAGAAGAGGTCAACCATAGATGGTGGGAGGCCTGTTGAAAAGCAAATGCAGGGCTGGGCACAGTGGTTTATGCCTGTAATCCCAGCACTTTGGGAGGCCAAGGCAGGCAGATCATGAGGTCAAGAGATCGAGACCATCCTGACCAACATGGTAAAACCCTGTCTCTCCTAAAAATACAAAAATTAGCTGGGCATGGTGGTGCATTTCTGTCAGCCCAGCTACTCGGAGGGCTAAGGCAGGAGTATTGCTTGAACCTGAGAGGCAGAGGTTGTAGTGAGCCGAGATTGCGCCAATGCAAAAAAAAAAAAAAAAAGGGAAATGCAGCCATCTCTAGAAAGATGATACTCCTTTTTTAACAGTCTGAGGAAGCCCACCCTCATCCCGTTTTTTTCATCAACAGTGGCAGTTGTCCTAATGAATGTTGGACCCTCCTAGACTCAGCTTCCCTCTCTTTTCTGAGAAAGTAGAAACCTGTTTCTTAAAGTGAGAAGTAAGTGTAAATATAGGAAAGTA